TACTAATTATTTATAACTATATAGAAAATACCTCTATATTAATCACACCTCTTTACAATCACAGTTTTTTGTATCCTGAATATGTGACTATAGAGAGGTTTGACTGTATATTATTTTGTTTTCTAAATATATATCATTTTGAGATAATTGATTTAATATATTTAAAATATATTTATAGAAGTTAATATTAATAAAATAAAATTTGAAATAGAAGTTAATCATTATTATTTCAATAATAAAAATAAAGTTAAGTTTACAATTATCAGTATTATTATATATTATTACTATAATATATCATTAAATATTTTAAGCAATGAATATAATTTATAACAATTATTGTTGATATATAATTTTTGTTTTTATAATTTTATATTTATATTTATATTTATTTTTTTAATATTAAGGTAATACTTTAGGTTAAACATGCTTTATTTATTTTTAGATTCAAATATTAGTATAGCTATAACCATATCTAATATTGTTATATCAACAAGAATACAATTGGTCATATGTACAGTTTTAGTTATTGCCTAATTAAGAATTCTGCTATATCTATTTTTATCTAAAGTTACTCACCAATTACTATATCTAAGATCTGCTTATAAATTTTCTATTTAAACTCTCTAATCGACTTGGTGCTGTTAGAATTATTTTTTTCTAGACAAACTTGCTATAACCTTTTAAGACAATTTTATCCTTATAGTAAACCTATCATAATAGTTCATATCCTACATATATAATATCTAAGTTTTTTAGTAACTTATATCCTAATCTGAGAAGTAGAACTTGTGGCTTTTTAGTTATACTATACTATCTTTACTTACTCTTTGCTCTTAAATAGTTTATCTAAACCCCAGTATCTCTCTTCAAGTTTACTAGTATTTTCTCTTTTAGTACCTCTAGCTAGTCTTCCAGACTTCTAATTTAAATAGTCCAAAAGAAACTTTTATCTATAGACTACTGATCCTCTGATATCTATACTTAAGCAAATTCTTTTTTTCTAGTTGATTTTGGTACTCTAATTAGTGAGATACTTAGTTCTTATTTGGTTATACTAGTCTCAAGTGTATTCTATTCTAGAATATCATAAAAAGCTTGTGCTTCCTCTTTTCTTAGGACTTCCTAAGCAAGTATCTATTATTTTGATTCTTTGGCTTTATACAGCTTCTCAGAACTTATCATGAGTTTGCACTAACTAATACTGGCTTATATGCTTTTATATAACTTATACAATATATAAATACCTATTTTTTTTCAAATATTTAGTAATACTTGATATGATCTTGGTAATAGATTAGCAATTCAACTCATCATGATAGTAACTGTAATACATATAACAGAATATTTAACTATTATCATAGTAAAATTTAAACTCTAGATATGCTACTTGGGGTGTAACAACTTCACTACTTTACTAAATCATTATACCCATAATTTTATATTTATTTTTTATTTTAAATTGAATCTTTGTTTTTATAAATTTATATTTAATTATAATATTATAATTATAAAACTATAATATTTTTGTAAAGTCAATTATATCCAATAAATTAAAGATATATTATTAATTAGAATTATTTTATATAAATTTTATCTATATTTTGATTTATATGAGTAATAAACTTTTTATATAAAAATAATAACTTGTTATTTTTTTTACTTCATTTAAATAATCAAAATAATATTTTAGTATTTGTATATATATTTCAAATTTAAAAAATATATTAGTAAGTACAATTAGCTATTATATTTACTATTTTTTTTAATGATCTTGTTTTTATTATTTAAATCAGATGTACTAGAACTTTATATTTATATTAAATATAAATTTTCTATACTATATTCCTGTACTAATAAAAACTCACTCACTATTAAAGCCCAGATGCGATCTGTCTAAGCAGCCAATTTATCTTACATTAAATTTTTAACTTTTTGAGAATTTAATCACTCTGATTCTTGGTTGGAAGCTACTGACTTTGTCAGCAATCATTAAATTTTTCTAATATGCCGCAGCCAAGGTCTTGACTTGTAGTTTGATTACATGTATTCTTATTGACCACTCTATTGTTAAGAATTATATATGTTTCTGTATAAACCACCTTTTCTAATTTATATATATTTTCTTCTTTATTTTCTTCCTTTTTTATAGCTCATTATATTCTTTTTTTGTGATCTTTTGAAGAGTCTTCTTTTTCTTCTTTTTCTTTTAATTTTTTCAGCTTAGTTTTCTTTTCTTTCTTCTTTTTGGACTTGCATATGGGTTCGAATTCATCTTCTTCTTTGTACTAGGGCTTGAATTTGTCTTCTCTTTGATAGTCAAGCTTGTTTTCTGTGATTTTGTAACCCTAGTTCTTTAATATAAATATGATTTGATGGACTTGATCCCTGGATTATTAAATTTAGCCACACTTTATTACTAATCAGATGCTTCAGAGCCAAGCCTGTTATTATAGTTATTTGCTAAATTGTAATGTAATTTAAAATAGTATCATAATAAGCGATATACTCAATTAAATAGACACATCCCAGAATATTATTAGACTCAGCCCCTGTAAAATTGATTCTAGTTACTTTGTTAAAATGAGCTTAGTTGTCAAATAAAATAAAAAAAAAGTTTAAAAAAAATATAATCAATGCGTTTTGGAACTAATCAGATTAGAGTTTAGGATATAGTTTAGGGTTATGTCTCTAGCCTAAACTTGTAGTTTTGAGTTTCAGTTTCCACCTATAAATCACAAATCTTCGAGGGCGAATCTGATTAAGGGACAAATTTATATATTTTACTTTTCATCATTCAAGCACGTATTAAGAGTAACTAAAATTTTTTGTTAAAGTCGATATTTTAATTGTAAGAAAAACAATTTGATATTACATCAATTTTTGTAGGCTTATCATGAAATCACAAATTTTTTTCCACGAATATTTTACTTGATTAATCATGATCGAAACTTGAGTAACAAGAAAATTCTGTGGCACCAACGAATTTCACAGCCCGATCAAAATTACTATTTAAGGACGGCTGCGTATCCAAAAAGTTACAAGCAAATCGATTGCTTCATGACTATTTTTCAAATCAAATCAATTAGAATACTCTAGATATGAAATCTAAAGGGTATCACAACTAAAAAATATCTTTTCTATTATTTATGAACATTTATCTAATTTACATGAAATAAAATCTGTTCAAATACATTAATTCGAAAAAAGAACACTTTGTATTAAAATATAATTTCATTATTGCATTGATATTCAGATGATAATTACATGAATTATAGTCACGAAATATATGAGAACATGAATGCTAGCGTTAATAATTATAAAAATAGGTTTATAAAAATTACTTATTATAGTAATAACTCGGAATGTTTGTATATAAGTTCACTGTTGAAATTGATAATAAGAACTTTGGGAACATTCTGGTTAATTTATATATGCAGACATGAATAGTCTAGTCATGTCAGTAAATAATATTTCAATTATAAATAAGTATCAGAATTTTAGTGATTCTGAATATAATCTATTTTGCATTTGTTCGCGCAACTACGTTACACAGCTATCATATATTAATATTGGAAATCACAATCCTAAAAATGAACTATTATATTCTACATATCCTAACATTTACCTTAAATTAGGCCAAGTGTTTACAGTAATCATGTAATGATCACGAAGATATCACTGGGTTAACTGTTCTTAAATTTACCCTACTCTCAAGTACTTACGTCCATACTGGTCATAATAATATCCTCCACCGCCACAACAAAAGACCAAACACGCTAATGCAACGAGGATAGCAGATAAGGGATCAACGTTAGAGTTAGAAGAAGGACCAGGAGGAGGATTATACCCATCGACCGGAAAGATAGATTCAACTGCTCTGATCATATCATCACAACCAATTCCTAAACCATCAAGTGCAATCCCACCATATGATTTATCTATTATCAATTTTAACTTATATTGAATTGATTGGAAATCCTCATAAGTAACATAATAATACGTGGTAAGTGGATTTGGAGAGCCTACCACTACTGAGGTATTATAAACCTTAAAAATGTATGTGGATTTAACATTGGAATCAAATACTCGAGTCCATCCGTTTTGTGCAGTGCAAGAACTTGATAATGGACCAGTTTTTGATCTAATTGCCAGACAAGAACCCACATTCAAATAATAGACCTCCTTAAAGGAGCATACGTCATAATAAGAAGCTGTTGAACTATTATCCGAGGAGGATGTGGCATCAAAGACAAAAGCTTTAATATCAACAGTAGTATCAAGCGGAACCGTGTTGTTATTATCAAGACTACCATCAATTGCCTTCGTGAGTTCAACAATTCCATATGCTGCAACACCCAGAATAAGTTTTTTTGGATCCACAGTTTTACTCCAACCATCCATGATATTCGATATTTGATCAAACGTGATGCTTGGACCGGTTTTGTTAGATATTTCATTTTGCTTAAATGGCTATAATGAAAAACATAATAATTCATTAAAAAGAAATCATTAAAAAACAAACAAAATTATTAATCAATGATATACTACCATGACATTTATGAAATCAGTTGAACTAATATTTAACCCTTTGATTGGGTTATTTCCAACGGTTATTGAAAGCGATTTCTTAATGACTTTTAAAGCGGATGATAATTCATCTACTAACGGAATAAAATTTTCAGATCCATTCCATTTTCCACAACCGTATCTATCAGGATATTCAAGATCAACCTATGATAATGATAATGATAAAAAATGTGACAAAATTTTAAATCCTTAAATTTTTGGATCGAACTCAAATCCATTCAATACTGAAATAGCGATAAATATTATATTTATAATAACGCTTTTAACATACCCCATCCAATCCAAATTTATAAACAAAATTTATAACATTGCTGACGAATGAAGCACGTTCGGTTTTATTACTTGCGAAAGGTTGTTTGTTTTTAAAATCATTATTTATGTTGAGATTCCCTGATAAAACAATCGCTAGAAATATCTGTGAAAATGGTAATGAATTTGTAAGCCAGATTATTTCATCACAAAATATAGACTTTTTATTTGGCATTATCATACATTGGTATTTATTTTATTGTCATTTCTGTATTTCACCGTCTTATTTAAATTAGTAATAGCAGTATTAGCACCTGAAAATGGTATGTCTTTATTTGATTGATCGTCTGGTTTAAATGCTATCATACAAGGATACGATACGGTGTATGTAAAAAATATAGAAATAACGCGTTTAAGGAAAAATATCTTTTTAACATTTCATACCGATCCAATTAATATGAGTAATATTCCATGGTAATTTCGAAGCATCGAATGTGTAATCATAATAATAACCATTAACGTATCCAACGGTAATTTTGGAATTTTTTTCTTGTTGAGTGGCTACAGAGTTTGGGCATGAAAGATCTTGGGAATTGTTAAATGAATGGGAGGGTGATATTAGAAAGGAATGAATGATGATAAAGATTAAAAATACATTAAAAGTAAGGTGGGAAAGAAATTTAATCATTTTTGAAGTTAATTAATTAATGGAACAAACCTTTCCATCCTTTTATACTAAAAATAAAAGATTTATTTGTTACCAAATACAGAGAAACTGCCTTAAGTGCACTTTATAGTATACGTGCGGCAAAACCTTTTCCGCATTGATTTTTGATATGAAAACGCTGAGTTACCAAAGCAGTTTCAGATTAAAATCAATGCCGAAATAGTTTTACGGCATATATTCTCTATGGTGACATTTTTCATTGTGCATTTAGGGAAAATTAGAAAGTGTATTTATAGAGGTCAAGTATTTTCGGTCGGAATTTAAGGGCGCATTTGTTCTTAATATTCGGAAAATTCATGGAATAAATAATTAGAGTAGAAATAATAACTAGGATCCAACAGGAGGAACCGTCGATGTTACACAACTAATCCACACCTGGAGTGCAAGCACATAAAAAAATTATTTTACAATACCGGATCATTCCGCTAGTAAATGTTACGATTATAATCCCTCATCTGTTGGATTATAATCCAACAGGTGAGGGATTATAACCGTAACATTTACTAGTGGAATGATTCGGTATTGTAAATAATTTTTTTCTAAGACCCCTGTAACTTCCTCATATGTATTTAAATATTAGATATAGTGGGAAGTCACTCTACATTAAAGATAACCTAAAGATAATTCGGTTATAATGACGTTATATGTAGAATTCGTGACATAATCTAGAGCTCTAATACTGCGGCCAAATCTTTCCACGTCTCGATCGGTAGCCTTCTATTATTAGGGTTTAGATAGAGGAGTTTTGTAGCATTAATATTAGTATTAGTTTGTGCTCTTGATCAGATTGTTTGTATTCAATTTTTGTAGTTTCATTATAAATTGTATTACACGCGTTACTTATGTATGTGCATACGTACAATCTTTGTGACGGGAAAATAATTTCAAGACAAACACAAAGAAAAAACAAACAGAACCACTTATGTAGTGTAAGCATAAAGCATAATTTAATTCGGCTAAACTTTGATTCTATTTTTTGAATGTAAATTAAATTTGTGCTATTAATTTACGGTAAAATTTATAGTCAAATTTGTACAACGTGACAATCAAGTTTGTACATTTTGACAGTCAAATTGATATATATTATACAAAATAATATATTAGCCAAATCGGTTTATCTTAATTAGACAAATAAAATAGTACCTACCAAACTATGTGATTTTAATTACTAGATTACTAGTTACGTACCATGATTTGATCAATATATTATTTTGCGTAATATATACTAATTTGACTGTCAGATTATATGAATTTGACTGTCAAGTTGCGTGAATTTGACTGTCTATTATTTGTATTAACTTGGTATACAACACTTATAATTTAATTCTAATTAGCACTTTATTTAATTACGTAAAAGTTTTACAATTCAATTAGAATCGGTCTTCTAACGTACAATATAAAACACCACAGTTTTGTTAGTAGTAAATTTATAATTCATAATAACAAACCATAAGGTCATGTTTGAAAGAACATAGCCAATATTGAAGGGAAATTCACGTGATTAGTTAAAGTTAACATTTACGATTGAGATTGGCGCTGATCACGGCACCCGGCATAATATAATCTACAGGCAAAATTTGTATAATACCTGGGTAATATACTAAGCATTTTAACATAGGATATATCTCCTGGGTATTTTATATTCTATCACGAAATCTTTTAATATGGATATTTTGAATAGGTGCGATGCTGTAGTCAGCACTGTACGGTATTAATTACATGATTACTGTCAATAAGCGCCTCTGCAAACTCGGCACAGCAAAGTCCGAACGTAACATAAATTTAATCATTCCATTTCATCAGAATTTTTGTTGGTTAACTAGTGACAAACGAAAAAAATTCGTATTACGCAAACAAAAAATTTGTGCCAAGTTTTGTCAATCATTGTGGCCAGATCTCTAGATCACAAATCAGATTTCAAGTAACAGGTGTAACGTAACACGGTCAGAAAATTTCAAACGTTCGTTTTGTTAAAAAATCGCTTATTTCTCAAAACTTGTATAAAAACCACCTTTAATCTTTAACAAAAAGTTTTTCTTGAACAATTTCATTATCTAATTACCTAATATCTAAACGCTAATTCTAACATTAA